ATCCAGAATTACCTCTGGCCCATCCGGCGGATTCCTACACCATCCCCTTTCAGGCAAACTTACAGACTTCCTAGATAAAAGGTTAGAAGCATTCGCCTTCCCTTTGCCACACACAAGTTCAGGAATCTTTTCCTTCTTGCTACAGGTTTCCACACCCTCAGTAGGTAAAATAATCAAATCACCTTCCTGCTCTCCTTGTGCCCTGGCTAGGATCTCACCCTGATTAGACAGAGTTGCTGCACCCTTTCCCAACAACACACTAGCAATAGGCAAAATACAAGCACCAGAATTGTCTGGTCTCTGGGATTTTACGTAGACACTAACTGGATGCGACCTAGTTATGGTGCCATTCTCCCGAGCAGACACAAACTTAGGACCATTCCCTTCCTGGGCTTTAGTTGAATCCAGAACCAACTCTGAGACAACTGCACTATTCTCAACCATCACAGGCTGAAAGGCCCCTTCTGTCTGCTCCACAGACAAAGAAGAGCCGGAGACACATTCTCCTTTCCCAGACACACAGCTTGGGATCTCATTCCGCTGGTCCCAGCACACAAGGCTGTTCACAGACAAGTGCTTGGAGATCAGGGTAGCTCCCTCCACAGGCAAGTCAATACCCCTGACAGTCACAGGCACGTTTCCTTCACTGTCCCAATTCTCCACCCAGGTAACCGGTAAGGTCCAGGGACACTCATCTTCCACTCTCCTCGCCTTCCCACCCTGCTGACTAGACAAAGCCATCAGCTCACAAGGCTGCCTAGGCTCATCCAAACTTTCCTTACCAAGCACCTTGCCACTCCCAACAGATCCCCTGCCCTGCCCGTGTCTCCCCCCCCTCAGCTGGGGTCTCAGCTCCCACTGTGCTCAGCGCTGCCCTTGCTGTCCCAGTGGGGGTAGGCAGCGAGCTCGCTGCTTTCCTCGCTGTATCAGAGCCTGCATGAGCCCCCTGAGCCCCCCTCTCCGGTGTGCAGGGGGGCGAGGAACATCTCTCTGTCCCAGGATCTCGCCACCCCAGGAATGTCTCCCCATTGACCATCACCTTCCGTTCTCACTAGGGAGGGGCTTGACCCCAGGAAACTTGCTCTTTCAGACTCAGCTCCAATCCCGTCCATCTCCGATCCCCCGATGGGGAACCCGATCATGAAGACCCCCGTCTGGTCGGGGACAGGAGTCTTAGGGATGCCTGGCTACCACTGCAGCTGCTCCCAGATCCTGCTATAGCCTCATTTGGGATCAGGAATCTGCTTCTTAGAGTGATCATCCTCCTCCAGCTGCACGATTAATTGTGCCTTGGTGAACTTTCCAATGTGTAACCCTCTGTTTGTCCTTTGCAATGTCCTTCTTAAGGAGATGGTGACAGGCCATCACTCCGTTGTTCCCAGGTTGCTGTGGACTCACAGGTCTGAGTGCTCTCAGCTCCCCACGGTTTCCAGGGAGAACCCCTAGTGAGCCAGCCCTTCTCGAGGTCACCACCTCTTTGCCAGTGTCGAGCTGCAGACTCCTCCGCCCCTTGGACTGCTCGCTGCAATCCCCAGGGGAACCCTCTTACTGCAAAAGTCCTTCTCTCTCCCAGGGACAAGCCACAGGTTCCTCCGCCCCTGAGACTGCTCACCGCAGTCCTCAGGGGGACCCCATTACTGCACAGTCCTTCTCGCTGGTCACACACTCCCAGGGGTTAACCGCCCCCCGAAACCGCTCCTCTCTGAGCCTTCAGCACGCCTGGTCCTCGTCAGTCCCCCTTCATTTTATTGCTCCCCAGTCACTTACTGCAGGAAGCGCCGTCCACGGGGTGCAGTACCTCCCACCCCTGCCACCAGTTGTCATGAAGTCCCCGGGCGATGCTCTGGAACTGCTCCCTACGAAGCCAGGCAGGACTCTGGGGAAGTCTCCTTTCTGGGAGCAGCCTGTCTGCAGGACACACAGCTTGCACAGCTTCCACCTTCCTGGGTCTGACCTCGGAGCATTCAGCCTCCTCTGCCCCATCCGTGCGCTTCCCACAGCGAGGCCGCCCAGGCGGGGTTCCTGGGGAAGCCAGAGGGTCCTGCCCCCCAACTCCGCAGTCAGACGTGACTCTCAGCCAGCCAGTAAAACAGAGGTTTATTAGATGACAGGAACATGGTCTAAAACAGAGTTTATAGGTGCAGAGAACAGGACCCCTCAGCTGGGTCCATTTTGGGAGGCAGTGAGCCAGACAACCACGTCTGCCCTTCTCTCCATGTCTCCAGCCAACCCCAAACTGACTCCCCCTCCAGCCCCCCCTCCTCTGGTCTTTGTTCCTTTCCCGGGCCAGGAGGTCACCGGATTCCTGTGTTCTCCAGCCCTTTAGCTCTCACCTTGCAGGGGGGAAGGGACTAGGCCATCAGTTGCCAGGAAGCAGGGTGTCGGCCATTCTCTATGTCCAGACCCCTGCACACACCTGCCCTCTAGGGCTCTGCAACAATCATATGCCCTTATCCCACCCCCTAAATACGTAAGACCTATCTAGGGGAAACTGAGGCACCCCCACACTATTCAGAGGAAACATTAAGAACAGTCATGCTTCCCCCCAGGCCAGGGCCCTGTCTTTCCTTCCCCGCCACCCCACCTCCAGATTAGAGCAGGCTTTGGGGAAGAGTGGGGGCTTGTTCCGCTGCAGGGTATTGCTGGGTGCCATTGAGTTAAGCCTTCCCAAGGGTTTCCAGCTGTTTCATCAATCTATTTCAATGATTCTCATCAGCCAGAGAGATCTTCTCCTTTCTGGTAGAGTCACTGATGCACATTTTTTTGGAAAATCTGAACGGTTTTAAGAGAAAAACCCCACCACCCTCTCTCTCTCTCTCCCCCCTGGCTCTGCTTGACCTGGGCTGAGTTCTGTTATCCTCACCCTGTAAAAACCCCATTGCTATCTGGGTGGGGGGAACCGGTCGAGGTTTTAACAAGACCCAAAATAATATACTGTGCAAAATGAAAACCTTTGCAGTTCTGTGAGGAAAGCTGCCAAACGACTGTTGGCGTTGGTTATGCAGGCAAGATGGTTTTCACTATAAGCGAAGGAGTGAATTGAACCCAGACGCTTATTAGAGGCGCCCTGTTTCGGTTTGCTTGTAACTAGGCTTGGACAGGTTAGATTTTTATGGGTGAATGTTGATTTCACCGCCCGCAATAAACTGAGGAAAAATACTTCCATGCCTAACAATCGAAACTGATGGGCAAAGTAAGAAGAATGCTGCTTGAGAGCTTATTAGTTTGATTTAAGGGTCTTTGCTTTGTATTTTGGCACGTGATATAGACATTCTGTGGTTTAACGATCGCAAAGCTTTCACTTTTCCAATCTGTCTGGTCGTTAAATAATTGATGCCCGCCAATTTCCTGTGACTGTGGAAAATTTAAAATGAAAAACATTTGGGGGCAAAATGCTTGAAACCATCATTTTTGCACAGTTGGGATTTAAATATGCAAACACTGGGGGGAAGTGCTTCAAAATAAATATTGATATTATCCATTGAAATTAAAACAAACAAAAACTTCTGCCAGGCCTACTTATAACTTTGGCAAACTTTTAACTGTTTGCATTAAATGGTCCAGTCCAGGTCTTTGCCTCAGGCTGACTTTTGGGAGACCATTTCAGCCAAAATAGCTCAGCCATTTCTGAGAACGAAGATAGGAACAAAATATGGCATTGTCCCCGTGTGAAATTCTTAGGACTTTCTTTGAGGCGCTCCAGCGTGCACCCCCCCCAGCTTTGGAGCAGGGACTTGAAATCTGGCGGGGATCACAGCCGTGGTGTCAGGGACGTGGCTTTTGCTGTTCCTGGGGAGCGGGATTCTGCCCTTGTCTGTGTCGCAGAGTTCCCCGGGAGACGTTGGCCACTTACACCAAATGCTTTCCAGATGGTCTTCCTCCCTTTCTGGGTGCCCAAAGTGAGCAGCCGGCCGCGTGCTTGCAGCTGGAGTCGCGGGGAGCTGTGCTGTGAACACACCAGGCTCTATGTGACACAACACATTGCTGCCTCAGTGCCTCTGTTCTCCCTCTAAAATGGGAGAACAGGCCCCTAGCTGGCAGGGCCGGTAAGAGAAATCAAGGCACGGGGAGCACTCGGCTCCCAGAAGGCCGAGCACTGGGGGAGCTGGAACATTGCGTCTCCAGCAGAGCTGTGTCACTCCAACACCTGTCAAACAGCTGGGAGGAAAGACTTCTGAGTTAGTTTCCCTTCAGAGTTGGGTGATCCCCAGTCCGTGTCTCTGGTCCTCCACAGAGACCTCTGGCAAACGCCAGGCCGTAGGGGTGGGGGCAGGGGAAGCTGAATTAGCTTATTTTGGGGGAGGAAATCAATTTTCCAGCCTTTGTCATAAAGGAGGGTTAATCATTCCCTCCCCAAATCGGTCCCGCGGGAGCAATTGTCTCTGTGCGGCAGGTCCCCTGGGGTGTGCTGATGTGGCTGATTCAAACAGCCGGTCTGTTTCCAGTGGGGTCCCACTGGGATCGGGGCTATTTAACATCTTCCTCAGTGGCCTGGAAGAAAACAGCAAATTGTCTCTGCTACAGCCTGGAGATGACCTGACAGTTGGGGGCGTGGTGAATAACAAACAGGTCGGGTCACTGATACAGGGCACTCTGGATCGCTTGGTGACCTGGGTGCACGCGAAATACGTGCTTTAGTACAGCTAATCTCCAGAGGGACATGGGTTAATTGGAGAGGGGTCAGAAAAGAGCCATAAGAATGATTCAAGGACTAGTAACCGGCCTGGAAGTGAGAGACGCCAGGAGTTCGGTCAGTTTAGCAGGGGAAGGCTGGGCTAGTGGTTAGGGCACTGGGCTGGCACTTGACTCCCGACTCCCCGTGTGACCCTGAATCGCTCTGATCTCTTCTGTAAAGCGGGGATCCTCGTGTCTCACGGGGATTTCCCCCCTCCCGATCCAGGGCCCTCTGGCGATCAGGGTCTCCGCGGGCAGGCAGTCTCAGGTGGGGATTCTGGGCGACCACGGGCTGGTGCTGATGCTGTGTCTGCTTCTCCCCACAGAATGGCCTACAAGGAGAATGTGACCCCTGGTACCAGCATCAGCCTGGCCAAGGTGAGCTGATCTTGCGGGCCTATGGTGAGAGGGATTCTGTTGTGCCAAGCACTGCACAAAACCCTCTTCCCCCCGCCCGAGATCGAGGCCCACCACCCGGGTGCCACCAGGAACCCTTTCTCCCCCCGAGATCAGGGCACCATGCAGACTCCCCTGTCCAAGATGAGGTGCCCCCTCATGCCAGGTGCTGAGCCAAAGTGAAAGCCCCCACTCAGCGCCTGCAGTACCTAGCTAAGGTACAGGAGCGGTGGCCAGCTGCCACAGACTAGTGATAAATAAGGAAGACGACAGGGCCCTGATTCCGAGCGATCGAGTAAACTGGGTGCAAGCGACCGATGTGTGTTTAACGTGGCTAAGTGTAAATGGAGACGTCTAGGAACATCGGATGTGGGCCACACTTACAAGCTGGGGGAAAAAGATTTGCGGGAGGAGGGTGTGGATAATCAGCTGAACATGAGCTCCCAGCACGACCCTGGTGTGTACAAACAGGGGAATCTCGAGTAGGAGCGCAGAGGTGACTTTATCTCTGGTTTTGGCCCTGGTGCAGCCACTGCTGGGATCCTGAGTCCACTTGGGGTGGATGCTGATAAATTGGAGAGCAGTCAGAGAAGAGCCCCGAGAACGATTAAAGGGGGAGAAAACCGGCCTTGGGGTGAGAGACGCCAGGAGCTTGGTCTGTTTCACTTACCAAACAGAAGGTGAAGGGGTGAAGTCTCTAAATATCTACACGGGGAACCGATATTTGACAATGGGGATTCTCCATCACTGACAATTTTCCCCTCGAGATGGGCTGGTTTTCTAACAGATCTGTTCTAGGATTTCTTTTGAGGCCGGGTCCTGGAGAAACCCCTTCCGGCCTCCAGTGCCTGCCTGTAACCCTCGGTTTCTCTCTCCCCCCAACCCCCCGCACAGTATGGGGTGCTGAACGGGCCAGGCCCCCAGCGAGTCCCCCGGAAGGATCCCTACATGCCCAGTGGCACCCCCTCCGAGTCGCTGCTGGCACAGAGAGCCATGGCCAGCACCAATAAGATTATCCTGAAGTCCTCCAGCATCCAGAAGCCAGGTAAGGAGGGGCAGGTTGGGGGCTGGGGGTACACTCAGGGGCAGGGGGGGAGGGAGGATCTGTGCTCCCCCCCCCCCCCCCCCCCAACAGATCTGCTCAGGCTCGGCCAGGCGTTAATTCAGGGCAGTTTGAGGCCTGCGTTAGACAGGAAGGCAGAGCAGGTGATCTCGGGGTCCTTTTTGGCCTATATCTATGGGTCTAGGAGCTAAGAATGGGGGAGAAACACGGAGTGGGGATTTCCGACCATCCAGTAGGGCCCATTCGATCAGCCAGCCCGACCTGGCTCGCCCAGGCCAGAGATGGTGGATGGGGCATTGCCCGCACTCTGACGGGACGTCGTCTAGCTCAGCCGGGAGCTGTGGGCGGCCCGCCGGGACCTGTCTTTGGGGAGGGTGGGCACGGTGCAACGGGGAATGCTAGGATGTGACTCTCTCTCCCTCTCCGCAGCTGTCCCGGGCAGGGTGCCCGCTGAACCCAGCTCCGGTCCCCAGGCGGCTCAGCCCACCCCACAGTGAGTCCCTCTGCGGGGGCTGGGGTGGGGGGCCGAGGTGGCACTTTCCCTTAGAGGGCACTGAGATCTGGCTCCTGTGGAGGGGAGAGCCCTCGCTTTGGGGCTGCCCGTCCTGGCCGACATCCCCCTCACCCTGATCCAGGTGGTTCCCTGGAGATCTGCTGTCTGGGCTAGGGAGATCTGGGGCCAGGGGAGGGGATTTGGGGTGGCGGGGCCCTGGGGGAGCACTGCTGGGAGGGTGGCTACCAGGGGGAGGGGAGATCTAGGGCAGCCGGGCCCTGGGGAAGGGCTGCCGGGGGGGAGGGGAGTTTCTGGGGCAGCCGGCCCCGGGTTGGGGGGCAGGTTTCTGGGGCGGCCAGGCTCTGGTGGGGGAGGGGGGATCTGGGGTGGCTGGGCCCCGGGGGCAGGGCTGCCCAGATGGGAGGGGTACGTGGGGCGACTGGTATCCGGTGGAGGGATCTGGGGTGGCTGGGCCCTTTGCAGGGAGGGCTGCCCAGGAGGAGCGGGGAATCTGGGGTGGCCAGGCCCTGTGGATGGGAGGGGGGATCTGGGGCGGCCAGGCCCTGAGGGGAAAGGGCTGCCTGGGAAGCCGGGAGGGGGAGGGGGGGATGTGGGGCAGCCAGGTCCCGGGGGAGGGCTGCGCGGGAGCGGGGGCCCTGGGGGGGTAGGGGGATCTGAGGGCGTGCAAATCCCCTGCTGTCCCTTGGCACCCCTTGTTCTGCACCCCCCAACTCTAACCCCGTCCGCCCCCAGGCGAGTCTTTACCATCAATGACTTTGAGATCGGGCGCCCGCTGGGCAAGGGGAAGTTCGGGAACGTGTACCTGGCCCGGGAGCGGGCGTCCCGGTTCATCGTGGCGCTCAAGGTGCTCTTCAAGTCGCAGATGGAGAAGGAGGGCGTGGAACACCAGCTGCGGCGGGAGATCGAGATCCAGTCCCATCTCCAGTGGGTGGGGACGGGCGCGGGCGGGGGGGACACGAAGTGGCTGGGCACGGAGCCCTGCCCCCCCCGCAGCCTGTGTGGGGCAGGGTCCTGGCTGGGGGCTCGACCCTGGGAAGGGATTGGTGGGGGGCCCCTGAAGCCTGGCGTGGAGATAAGGGACCCCGGAGATCGGGAAGCAGAGAGGAGTGGGGGTGGCCAGGGCGCAGCCCTGAAGCTGTGGATTGGACCCATCTGGGGGGGCCGTCCTGCACTGGGGCACCCCCATGACACCCCCCCCAGTAACCGATGTCCCAGGCTGTGCATGTGGGGGTCTCTCCGGCGGGGGGATCTGGGGCAGAGACGAGGGCTGGCGCCCCCATTGGGAGGGGAGACCCCCCACCCCAGCTGCCCTGGCCCTAGGTGATCTGACTCCAGCCCTCCCAGAGCAGCCTCGTGGCTGGGATGCTGCAGGATCCAAAGGGGTGGGGGGTGCTAGCCCCTGGGAGGGGGGGCTGACCCCGGGGTGGTGCCGGGGCTGCTGTGCTGCGGGGAGCGGGGCGGGGGGCTCCCTAGGGGTCACTGTGCTGCGGGGTGGGGGGCACTCTCTGCATGCTCAGGCCCGGCTCTGACTGCCCCCCCGCCTTTGGCCCGCAGACACCCCAACATCCTGCGCCTCTATAATTACTTCCATGACAAGAAGCGGGTCTACCTGATCCTGGAGTACGCGCCCCGCGGCGAGCTCTACAAGGAGCTGCAGAAATGCCGGCAGTTCAACGAGCAGAAGACCGCCACGGTGAGCGGGCGGGGGTCCGGCAGGCGCAGTGCCCCCCAGGCCAGGGCAGATGGGGGCGCCATTCCCAGCTCAGAGCACGTGGGCTGCAGCCCCCTGTTAGATACAGGCCTGGCATGTGCCATCTCCACCTTGGCTGTGAGGGCGGCGTGGTCTAGTGGGTAGATCACTGGCTGGGAGTCAGGATGCCTGGGTTCTCTGCCAGGTTCTGAGAGCGGTGTGCGGTCTAATGGTTAGAGCAAGGGGGCTGGGAGCCAGGAGTTCTGGGTTCTCTCCCTGGCTCTGGGAAGGGAGTGGGGGCTGGTGGGTCAGAGCCGGGGGGCTGGGAGCCAAGACTCCCGGGTTCTCTCCCCGGCTCTGGGAGGGGAGTGGGGGCTGGTGGGTCAGAGCCGGGGGGCTGGGAGCCAAGACTCCCGGGTTCTCTCCCCAGCTCTGGGAGGGAAGTGGGGGCTAGTGGATAGAACAGGGGGTTCTGGGAGCCAGGACTCCTGGGTTCTTTTCCTGGTTCAGGGGGGAGTGGGGACCAGTGACAGCTCCGCTCCTGCCCTTCTGCAAGTCACTTCCCCTCTCTATTGCCTCAGTTTCCCAATCAGCAGACTGGCCCCAGCGTGGCACTAGGGGATGCTGTGGGGCAGGGAGCGGGGCGGGGGGCTGAGCAGGGGGCGCTCTCCCCTGGCAGGCAGGGCTGGCCCCAGGGCGGCGCTAGGGGGCGCTGTGCTGTGGGGAGTAGAATATCATTGAGTATTTTCCGGTACAGGCAGAGGAACTAAGTGACGTTTTCCCCCAACGTTTATTTTTAACCTGTGCGCCCCCATTTTTCAGGGGCAGTAAGAAGGGGGCTGGTGGAAACAAGTGGGTATTTTCCTTGTTTCAAAGGCCTTCCATCCCCCCACCCCCAGCGTTTTTTAAAAGCTTGGATTTCAGAGGGGAAATGGGGGGTTTCGGCCGGCCCAGCCCCGCCCCCTGACAGCCCGCGCTCTGCCCCACAGCTCATGGAGGAGCTCGCTGACGCACTCATTTACTGCCACGCCAAGAAGGTGATCCACCGCGACATCAAGCCGGAGAACCTCCTCATGGGCCTCAAGGGCGAGCTCAAGATCGCCGACTTCGGCTGGTCCGTGCACGCGCCCTCGCTCAGGTGAGAGCCGGCCAGGGGCGGGGGGAAGGGTCCCTGCCCCATCCTCAGCGTGGCGCTCACCCCGCACCGCTCCCCCGCAGGCGGAGGACCATGTGCGGCACGCTGGATTACTTGCCCCCCGAGATGATCGAGGGCAAGACGCACGACGAGAAGGTGGATCTGTGGTGCATCGGGGTCTTGTGCTATGAGCTCCTGGTGGGGCAGCCGCCCTTCGAGAGCTCCACCCACACGGAGACGTATCGCCGCATCACCAAGGTGAGGAGGGGCCGCGCCGCCCCAGAGCTGGCCGCAGCTCGGCGCTGGGCGAGGGGTCCCTGAGTAACCAGCCGCCCTGCCCCAGAGCTGGCCGCATCTTGGCGCCGGGCGAGGGGTCCCTGAGTAACCAGCCGCCCTGCCCCAGAGAGATGTGGCAGAATAACTCGTGGCACATTGTGGGGGGCCGCACAGGCAATCCCCCATCACCCTAAGGCTGCTGCTGTGGGCTTTGGCCGCCAGGGGGCCACTAGCCCTTTGGCATCCCTATGAGGTGTCCCCCAAGTCTGGGATGATCTGTGCTCTTGCCCCTCAGTCCTGAGCTCCAGGCTGAAGGCGTTACCCTAGCTCCAAGTGGGAAGACGGGCGCAAAGGAGCGTCCTCCCCTAGTTCCCACAGCAGAGAAGAGAACCCAGGAGTCCTGGCTGCCAGCCCCTCCTGCTCTAACCCCGAGACCCACTCCCCAAGTCGGGGCTCGACCCCCGGCGTCTGGGCTCTCTGACTCTGCGTGCCCCCGGCAGGTGGATCTGCAGTTCCCGCCGTTCATGTCGGAAGGCTCCCGGGACCTGATCTCCAAGCTGCTGCGCCATAACCCCGCCGAGCGGCTGCCGCTGCAGGCCGTGCTGGAGCACCCCTGGGTGAAGGCCCACTCCCGCCGGGTGCTGCCGCCCGTCTTCAACCCCGCCCCTGCCAACTAGCCCTGCCCCGCGGCCTCTTTCATCCCTCGGCCGGGGCGGGTAATGGGGCCAGTCCCCGCCTCCTCCGCCTGGCCTCCCTCGGTGCTGCCCCCCCTCGGCCGGTCCCGGGCAGGGGGCACGGGCTGACACGCCCGCTCGGGCCTGTAGATAAAGGTGCGGCTGCCAGTCCCTGGCAGGTTTCCCAGCTGGGGGGATCTGGCTCCAGGACCCCCTCCCCAGTTGGCCCTTTCGCTGGCTGCCTTCCCAGGTGTCGGGCTAGCCCCCCTCACTCCCAGAGGGGCAGCGGGTCCCTGCCTGCCTCTCCTTTCCTGCCAGGGGGCCGGGGGATGCCCCGGCATGGCCTGTTTTAAATGTCTCCGCGGGAGGCTGCATGCCCCCTGCCCTCCTTTTAATAAAATTTGGAGTTACTTTGCCGTGGGGTCCTATTGTGTTTGTCTGTGTTGGGCAGAGAAAACGGTGTGGGGCAATGGGGGGCAGTTTGGGGCCCACAGAGCCAGGATCCCCTGTGGGGTTTGGGCGTATGAATCTGGTTCCGGGCTGGGTGGGGTGCTGTGGGGTGGCGAGTTCAGCAGGGGGCCCTCTCTCCTGGCCGGCAGGGCTGGCCCCAGGGTGGCACTAGTGGGTGCTGTAGGGCAGGGACACAGCAGGGGGCGCTCTCCCACATGCCCTGAAATACAGCCATTGCTGGGGCCCTCTCCCCGGTGCCTTTGGCTGCCTGGCCCCCCAGCCCTCGCAGGGACTCGCCCACCAGACAGTGCCCCATGCCCCTGCCTGCTGACTTGGGGGGCAGAGCCTCTTCTCACCCACCGCTTGCCCCATCTCCTCCACTCAGCCTCAGCTCGGGGTGGGGGGATCCCTCTGGCCTCGCCTGTGTGTATGGGACTGACCCAGCCCCACGGCCCCACGGCTCCAGGGGGCCGGGCACCTTCTGCCCTCCATCCCAGCATCTCACCTGTCCTGGGGGGAGGAGGGGTAGAATAGGGCGGACAAGGCCCTTTCTTGGTCCCCTGTTGCCCCCTCCCTTTATTTGCCCCCATCTCCCTGGTCTCCCCCCCCCTTGTTGCCCCATGACCCTTTCTCACTCTTTGTCTGCCCCCAGCGTTATCTGCCCCCTTTGCTGCCCCTCCCCCTTCATCGGCCCCTGGGTTGCCCCGCCCCTCCCCATGTGACCCCGCCCCCTCGCACGGCCCCGCCCCGCGCTGATTGCAGGGGCCTCGGGTCCAGCCGCTCCCCCTCCTGGCCCCCGCCCCTCACCCGCCCAGGTGCCCGGATGCGCCAGCCCGGCCGCCATCTTCCCCGCTCGGCTCAGGGACCCGCGCCACTCGCCGAGCGCCCGCCCCGCCGCAGACCCCGGCCCGCGCCGCCGCCGCCCCCGACATGTGAGTAGCCCCCGATGCAAGAAGGCGAGCAGCGTGCAATGGTCCCCGGGCTGCATCGCCTCGGGTGCATGCCAGAGCCGGGCTCCCCGCGCCCCCGCAGGGGCTGGGCGCTCCGCCGACCCCGGGGCTCAGCAAAACGGGGGGCAGGGGGCTGCTCAATGCAAGGCGGTAAAGGGCGTGCAGTGCTCCGCGGGCTGCATAAAGCCGGGGGGATGCGAGATCCGGGCCCTTCCGCCGCCCCCGCAGGGAAAGGGGGCTCATCTACCCTCCCAATGGATGGGTGCAAGGCGGTAAATAGCGTGCAATGCTCGCCAGGCTGCGTAAAGCGGGGTGCATGCAAGATCCGGGGTTCCCCCCCGTCCCCGCAGGGGATGGCAGCTTGTGCACCCTCCCAATGGATGAGCTCGGTAAAGCCAAGGCTGGGGTGTGCTCAATGCAAGGAGATAAATAGCGTGCAATGCTCCCTAGGCTGCATAAAGCGGGGTGCACGCAAGGTCCGGGGTTCCCCTGTCAAGGGAAGGGGGCTCATCCACGCTCCCAATGGATGGCTCCGTGAGGCAGGGTAGAGGCATCCTCAGGGCAAGGAGAAGAATAGGCTCTGGTGCGGGATGATGCCCGGGCTGCATCGCCTCGGGTGATTTCCTTGCCCGTTTCCCCATTTGGGGGTCTTATTCCCAAAAGCCAGGGGCCCCCGGGGCTGGGTGCAGCCGGGCAAGGGCAGGGACGGGACTAGGGGATCGATAGCAAGGAGATCGATATCTTGCAATGCACCTCTGCTTGCATTAACCCCCCCCCCCCGCCCCAATGCATCAGCTAGCCGCAATCTTCCTGCCCCACCCGTGGGGGGGTGCGATCACACCCGTTGGCACCCGCGCCAGCAAAGCCCGGTTGTACAGAAAGGACCGGCGTGCCCCTGGCTGCGTTCCCTGCCATGCACGAAGGAAAGTGGGTGCCGGGGGCTGGGTTGGGGGACCCCTGCAAAGGGGCAGGGGGAGGGCTGCATTGCTCCTCGGCGGTGGGGGCCAAGAGGCTGGAGAGAGAAGAATGGGGGGGAGGGACATAGGGCTATGGGGGGTAGCCTGGGATGGGGGGAAGAGGGAGATTTGGGGGCAGAGGCTTGTCGGGGGGGGGGGGAGTCTTGTGGGGGGACTGAGGGAGGGGGGTGGGAGCCTGGCATGGGAGGGTAGCCTTGGATGGGGAGCAGAGAGAGATGGGGGGCAGAACCCTAGGATGGGGAGCAGAGGGAGAGGAGGATGGGGGGCAGGAGCCGTGGATGGGGGGCAGAGGGAGAGGAGGATGGGGGGTGGGATCCTGGGATGGGGAGCAGAGAGGGAGGGGAATGGGAGGCAGAACCCTAGGATGGGGAGCAGAGGGAGAGGAGGATGGGGGGCAGGAGCCGGGGATGGGGGGCAGAGGGAGAGGGGAATGGGGGGCGGGAGCCAGGGATGGGCGGCAGGAGCATCATCCCATCTCTTCCCCCCTGCCCCAGCAGACCTGGGCAGCTGAAATCCCCCCCCACCATGTCATGCAGGGGTACCCCCCAGTGCCCCCCCATAGACAGGGGGCATCGGAGCCCTGCCCAATATGGGGATCTGGGGTGGGGGGGCTGCGTCCCCCATTTCTCCTGCCGGGTATTTTTAGCTCCGGTGGCAGGATGACGCTGAACATGGCTGCCCATTGGCAGCCCGACTCTCCCCCCGTACCCCACCCCCACACATGTTTTGCTTTCCTGGGGGGGAGTGGGGGGGCGGCAGTTCTCCAGCGCCCCCCAGCCTCCAATGCGGAGGCCTTGTGGCCAGTTGTAGCCCAGCCCCCCACCGGCCGGGATCGTTTCGGGGGGGGGGCGTCGTCTTTTATTTTTAGAGGAGACGGGAAGGTCACGAAGAAACAGACGGAGAATGGAGTGAGCTGGGCTGGGGGATGGAGGGAGGACAGGGCAGCAGTGGGGTGTGTGATGGGGTAGGATGGGGGCGGGTTGGGGGATGGGGGGAGGACAGGGCAGGTGGTGGGGTTTGGGGGGGTGGGATGTGGGGCTGGGGGGTGGGAGGGATGGAGGTCAGGGCAGCAGTGTGGGGGGGGATGTGAGGCTATTGGGCGGGTTGGGGGTGAATGGAAGACAGCAGCAGTGGGGTGTGAGGGGGTGGGATGTGGGGCTGGAGGGCAGGTTGGGGCATGGATGGAGGATAGGACAGCAGTGGGGTGTGGTGGGGTAGGCTGGGGGGCGGGTTGGGGGATGGAGGGAGGACAGGGCAGGTGGTAGGGTTTGGGGGGGTAGGATGTGGGGCTGGGGGGTGGGAGCAATGGAGGACAGGGCAGCAGTGTGGGGGGGGATGTGGGGCTGGAGGGCTGGTTGGGGAGTGGATGGAGGACAGGGCAGTAGTGGGGCGTGGGGGTCGGGATGTGGGGCTGGCAGGGCCCTGGGTATGTTGGAGGGGCATAGGGCATTGGGGCAGGGCAAGACTGTGGTCCTACCCCTCCCCAACTCAGACCCCTCTCCCCTCCCAGAGCTGGGGTTAGAACCCAGGAGTCCTGGCTCCCAGCCCCAAACCCACCAGCCCCTTCTTCCCCCACGAGCCGGGAGAGAACCCAGGCGTCCTGGCTCCGGGGTCCCTCCCTGGCCTGCAGTGGACGAGCAGCAGGGCTGCTGTGGGTCTTTGGCTGTGTGATGGCGGGGGGAGGGGGCGGCCGTGCCTGTTTTGGGGCCCCCCCAGGAGCTGTGTGCGTGTTGGGGAAGGGGAATGGCCGATCTCACTGCCCCCAAACCCCTTCTCTAGGAGGGGCAGCTGCCTACCCCTCTCCCGGTGACCTCAGCCCCCTACAGCCGGGGATTCTCTGCCCACGGAAGCTCTAGGGCCCCGGGGGGGGGTCTGCACACGCCCCCAGGGATGCTCTAGGGCCCTGGGGGGGGGGCGGTCTGCACACGCATCTCTGTAGGACGGTGTCTGGAGCTGGGGCGTTTAACACAACGAAAAAACCTTAGTACAGTATAAACCAGAGAGAATTTCCCTTCCGCACATGCTATGGAGTGCGGGGGCTGGGCACCAGGACTCCTGGGTTCTCTCCCTGGCTCTGGGAGGGGAGTGGGGGCTGGTGGTTAGAGCAGAGGGGCTGGGAGCCAGGACTCCTGGCCCCCCTCTGGGGGTGGGGGCTGGGGGGGGGGGGGGGGGGGGGGGCAGGACTCCTGGTCCCTGGCTCTGGGAGGGGAGTGGGGGCTAGAGGTTAGAGCAGGGGGGCTGGGAGCCAGGACTCCTGGGTTCTCTCCCTGGCTCTGGGAGGGGAGTGGGGGCTGGTGGTTAGAGCAGGGGGGCTGGGAGCCAGGACTCCTGGGTTCTCTCCCTGGCTCTGGGAGGGGGGGGCTGGGGCCAGTCTGGGAGGGGGGGGGGCAGAGGTTAGAGCAGGGGGGCTGGGAGCCAGGACTCCTGGGTTCTCTCCCTGGCTCTGGGAGGGGAGTGGGGGCTGGTGGTTAGAGCAGGGGGCTGGGTTGGAGGGGAGTGGGGGCTGGTGGTTAGAGCAGGGGGGCTGGGAGCCAGGACTCCTGGGTTCTCTCCCTGGCTCTGGGAGGGGAGTGGGGGCTAGAGGTTGGAGCCGGGCAGGGGGAGCTGGGAGCCGACCTCCTGGCTCACCCAGGCCAGAGAATCTCCCCCTGGCTGGAGGCCAGTAACTTGGGTTTGGCTAAAGCACCCTCCCGGCTGGATCCGAGCCCCCAACGCTGGACCGCGCCCCCCGCTCCCCCCACCCCGGGCAGCTTGTTGCAAGGGTCCCTTTCCCCCCGGTTAAACACCGGGACCCGATCCTGTCCGGCGCCCCCGGGGTTTTCTCCCCGGGCCGCTCCCCAGATGGAGCCGCATCCCCGCTTGCTCCGGCCCTCGGCTCGGTTCTGGGGCTCGTCTCTGCCCCGCGCTCCGGCGTCCTTTTGAAAAGCTGCCCCCCGGCCCCGCCGCCCGCGCTGGAAGCAGGGGCCGGTCACGGGCTAACCCACGCCGCAGCCGGGGCAAATCCCATCCGGGCTCCCCGGAAACACGGCCCCGGGGCGGGGGGAGTTCTCTGCGGATGGTCTGGTGGGCCCGTCCCGTCTGGAAATTGAATGAAAGTTGAATCTTGGCTCCCAGTCCCCTCCTCCTCGCTCTGACCACTCACCCCCACTCCCCTCCCGAGAACCCTGGAGTCCTGGCTCCCAGCCCCCCCTGCTCGAACCCACCAGCCCCCACTCCCCTCCCAGAGCTGGGGAGAGAACCCAGGAGTCCTGGCTCCCAGCCCACCTGCTCTAACCACTGGATCCCACTCCTCCCAGGCTGGGGAGAGAACCCAGGAGTCCTGGCTCCCAGCCCCCCTGCTCTAACCCACCAGCCCCCACTCCCCTTCCAGAGCTGGGGAGAGAACCCAGGAGTCCTGGCTCCCAGCCCACCTGCTCTCACCACTGGATCCCACTCCCCTCCCAGAGCCCTCCCCAGTGCAGTCCCCGTTTGCTCTCTCCCCGGCACTTGGTCGTTTCCCAGCTGATCGCAGCCTACCCCTGCAGGTGGGGATCAGTTCTAGGGGTTCATTCCCCGGTGCTGCCCCAGCAATGCCCCACAGCCCCCCTGCCCAAAGAACCAGGATAGAGGGGCACCCAAGGAGCTGGGGGGGCTGCGGGGAGAGGCTGGCTACGGGGCAAGATTTTGGGGTACTGGCAGTTCAGGAGTGGGGGGCATCTATGGGGTGGGATTGAGGGGCAGTGGGGCACTATGGGGAGGAGGGAGGGGCTGTGGGGGGATCGAGGGGCGCTGGCAGCGCAGAGGGGGGCTATGGGGCAGGATTGAGCAGCTATGGGGCGGGATCGAGGGGCGCTGGCAGCGCAGAGGGGGGCTATGGGGCAGGATTGAAGGGCAACGGGGTGCTATGGGGCTGGAATGAGGGGCTATGGGGTGGGATCGAGGGGCACTGGCAGCGCAGAGGGGGGCTATGGGACGGGATTGAGGGTTGCTGGCAGTGCAGAGGGGGGCTATGGGGCAGGATTGAAGGGCAACGGGGTGCTATGGGGCGGGACCGGGGGCAGCGCCCGCTGTGGCTGGCCGTGTTCGGGGCTGTTTCCCCCTCGCGGGGTCACCGTGACCTTTGCCCTCTGCCCCCCCCCCAGGTCGGCCCCCGCCGCCGCGCCTCCCGCCGCCGGAGGAGAAGGGGGTGGCCCCCCCCCACCGCCCCCCAACCTCACCAGCAACCGGAGGCTGCAGCAGACCCAGGCCCAGGTGGACGAGGTGAGCGTGGGGGGTGGCGGGCGGCCTCCGGACGCCTGGGTCCCTTCCGCGGGCGGGGCCCCCCGTGTCTGACTCCCCCCCCCCCGCCCCCAGGTGGTTGACATCATGCGGGTGAACGTGGACAAGGTGCTGGAGCGGGACCAGAAGCTGTCGGAGCTGGACGACCGGGCCGACGCCCTGCAGGCCGGCGCCTCCCAGTTCGAGACCAGCGCCGCCAAGCTCAAGCGCAAGTACTGGTGGAAGAACCTCAAGGTGCGGCCCCCCCGCGGCCCCCCGTCTCCCCCCTGCAACCCCCGTCGCCCCCCGTTCCCCCTGCGGCCCCCCGTTTCCCCCCGCGGACCCCGTTCCCCCCCACAACCCCCGTCTCCCGACACCCCCTCACAGCCCCCCCTCCCCGCGGCCTCCCGTTCCTCCCCACAGCCCCCCTGTCTGTCGACACCCCCCCCTGCAGCCTCCTGTTCCCCCGCGGCCCCCCATCTCCCCCCCGTTCCCCCCCGGCCCCCCCCGTCGCCCCCGTTCCCCCTCGCCCCCCATTTCCCCCGCGGACCCCGTTCCCCCCACAACCCCCGTCTCCCGACACCCCCTCCACAGCCCCCCCCCCCGCGGCCTCCCGTTCCTCCCCACGCCCCCCTGTCTGTCGACACCCCCCCCTGCAGCCTCCTGTTCCCCCCCGCCCCCCATCTCCCCCCGTTCCCCCCGCGGCCCCCCGTCGCCCCCCGTTCCCCCTGCGGCCCCCCATTTCCCCCCGCGGACCCCGTTCCCCCCCCACAACCCCCGTCTCCCGACACCCCCCTCACAGCCCCCCCCTCCCCGCGGCCTCCCGTTCCTCCCCCACAGCCCCCCCTGTCTGTCGACACCCCCCCTGCAGCCTCCTGTTCCCCCCCGCGGCCCCCCATCTCCCCCGTTCCCCCCCGCGCCCCCCGTCGCCCCCTTCCCCCTGCGGCCCCCCATTTCCCCCCGGACCCCGTTCCCCCCACAACCCCGTCTCCCGACACCCCCTCACAGCCCCCCCCCCGCGGCCTCCCGTTCCTCCCCACAGCCCCCCTGTCTGTCGACACCCCCCCCTGCAGCCTCCTGTTCCCCCCGCCCCCCATCTCCCCCCCGTTCCCCCCGCGGCCCCCTGTTCCCCCCCATTCCCCCCGTCCCCCCCCGTTCCCCCTGCAGCCCCCCCCCCCTTCCCCCTCGCCCCCCATTTCCCCCGCGGCCCCCTGTCCCCCCATTCCCCCCCCCCCCCCCCGTTCCCCCTGCAGCCCCCCCGTCGCCCCCGTTCCCCCTGTGGCCCCCCATTTCCCCCCGCGGACCCCCGTTCCCCCCCACAACCCCCGTCTCCCGACACCCCCTCACAGCCCCCCCCTCCCCGCGGCCTCCCGTTCCTCCCCACAGCCCCCCTGTCTGTCGACACCCCCCCCCCCGGCCTCCTGTTCCCCCCGCGGCCCCCCATTCCCAACCGCAGCCTCCGGTTCCCCCGTCTCCCCCGTTTCCCCCGCGGCCCCCCATCTCCCCCCGTTCCCCCGCGGCCCCCTGTCCCCCCATTCCCCCCGTCTCCCCCCCGTTCCCCCTGCAGCCCCCCCTCGCCCCCGTTCCCCCTGCGGCCCCCCATTTCCCCCCGCGGACCCCGTTCCCTCCCACAACCCCCCGTCTCCCGACACCCCCTCACAGCCCCCCCCCTCCCCGCGGCCTCCCGTTCCTCCCCACAGCCCCCTGTCTGTCGACACCCCCCCCCCGCAGCCTCCTGTTCCCCCCCGCGGCCCCCCCATTCCCAACCGCAGCCTCCGGTTCCCCCGTCTCCCCCCTTTCCCCCGCGGCCCCCCATCTCCCCCCGTTCCCCCCGCGGCCTCCTGTTCCCCCCCATTCCCCCCGTCTCCCCCCCCCGTTCCCCCTGCAGCCCCCCCCGCTCCCCCTGCGGCCCCCCATTTCCCCCCGCGGACCCCGTTCCCCCCCCACAACCCCCGTCTCCCGACACCCCCTCACAGCCCCCCCCTCCCCGCGGCCTCCCGTTCCTCCCCACAGCCCCCCTGTCTGTCGACACCCCCCCTGCAGCCTCCTGTTCCCCCCGCGGCCCCCCATCTCCCCCCCCCCCCCCCCCGTTCCCCCCCCCCCCCCCGTCCGCCCCCCCGTTCCCCCTGCGGCCCCCCATTTCCCCCCGCGGACCCCGTTCCCCCCACAACCCCCCGTCTCCCGACACCCCCTCACAGCCCCCCCCTCCCCCGCGGCCTCCCGTTCCTCCCCACAGCCCCCCTGTCTGTCGACACCCCCCCCCCTGCAGCCTCCTGTTCCCCCCGCGGCCCCCCATCTCCCCCCGTTCCCCCCGCGGCCCCCTGTTCCCCCCCCATTCCCCCCGTCTCCCCCCCCGTTCCCCCTGCAGCCCCCCGTCGCCCCCCGTTCCCCCTGCGGCCCCCCATTTCCCCCCGCGGACCCCGTTCCCCCCCACAACCCCCGTCTCCCGACACCCCCTCACAGCCCCCCCTCCCCGCGGCCTCCCGTTCCTCCCCACAGCCCCCCTGTCTGTCGACACCCCCCCCTGCAGCCTCCTGTTCCCCCCGCGGCCCCCCATCTCCCCCGTTCCCCCCGCGGCCCCCCCGTCGCCCCCGTTCCCCCTCGGCCCCCCATTTCCCCCGCGGACCCCGTTCCCCCCCACAACCCCTGTCTCCCGACACCCCCCACGCCCCCCCCCCCCGCGGCCTCCCGTTCCTCCCCACAGCCCCCTGTCTTCGACACCCCCCCCCCGCAGCCTCCTGTTCCCCCCGCCCCCCCCATTCCCAACCGCAGCCTCCGGTTCCCCCGTCTCCCCCCGTTTCCCCCGCGGCCCCCCATCTCCCGACACCCCCTCACAACCCCCCCTCCCCGCAGCCCCCCGTTCCCCCCCCACAGCCCCCCGTTCCCCCCCGCGGCCCCCTGTGGCCCCCCATTCCCCCTGTGGCCCGCCGTTCCCCCCGCAGCTCCCCCATCCTCCCTGCAGCCCCCCATCTCCCCCCGCTGCTCCTGACCCACCATCTCCCCCTGTAGCTCCTGACGCAGCCCCTCATCTCCCCCCGCTGCCCCGACCCCTCCCCGTGGCCCCGCTGATCTCCCGTCTCCCCCGCAGCCCCCTGACACCCTCATCCCTGCCACTCTCTGCCCCATAGCTGCCCTTCCTGGCTCCCTCTGACCCCCTACCCTCCCCCATGGCTCCCCTCCTGGCCCCAAGCCCCTGCCCCCCACCTTCCCCTGACGCTCACGGCCTCTCTCCCCACAGATGATGATTATCCTGGGGGTGATATGCGCCATCATCCTGATCATTATCATTGGTGAGTGGGGGCTGGTGGGGGGGGCGGGGGCGTGTCCGGGCAGCATGTGACCCCCACCCCCTTGGGATATGGGAGAGGCAGCTAGGCACCTTTCATGGGGGTGTGGCAGCAAGGAGGTGGGGCTGCCTTTGGCCCCACCCACAGACTGGCCCCGCCCACAGCCACCCCTCAAGATGGCAGGGAAGGGTTGCTGGAAGGGGCGTGGCTTTCCTTGGACCCCCCCACCATCACACCTGCAATACTGAGAAGAAACTGCTGTGAAGGATGATGGGAAAGGGTGTGGCTTCCCTTAGCCCCACCTACCCAGAGACCCACCACGCTCCCCTTAGTGCAGAAATAAAAGGGGTGGAGCTTTTTTTTCACCCCACAGGCCCCGCCCACTGCTGCACCTACAGGGTCCAGCCAACAGTGCAGAAATAAGATCTTCGAGGGGGTGCGGCTTTCTTTGGCCCTGCCCCCAGCCACCCATCCTACTGCAATGAAACAGGCACAGGGTTATTGGGAAGGGGTGTGGCTTGTGAGGCCCCGCCCACAACCGCAGCTGGACGCTGTGGGGTGAAACAGGAGAAGGGTTAGTGGGAAGGGGCGTGGCTTTCTGTGGCCCCGTCCACATGGTGGCAAGTAGCCTTAGCACAAAGGAGCCAAGTTAGACCCGGATGGCCTGAAATTTCCTTCCCTCGCTCCCTGGACTTCCCCTTCTCCAGCTGCTGGAGTCTGCTGGGTCCCCCCCACACGCTATTCTTCCCCCTGAGCCCTTTCTGTATTTTTGGGGCACCCATCTGAATGAAGCAAGAGAAATGTCCCATCTCCAAATGCCACTGGCTCCCTCTCCCATCCAGTTCACCCATAGACATGGCAACATCCACCACCACCATTAGGTTCCAGGGTTAACACTCACTTGAGATAAACAGGGAGACTTCCTCTTTGCTGTGAAGAAAGCCTCAGTTCCTGTCCAAAACTGTGGTGCTTAGGCTGTCCTGGGTCCCCAGAGGTGGCTGCATCTCAGCGCTGGGCAAGGGTCCCTGGGTAACCAGCTGCCCCACCCCAGAGGTGGCCGCATCTCAGCACCGGGCGAGGGGTCCCTGGGTCACCTGCGCCCCCCCAGGTGCATCTCAGGTTGTCCCCCCCCCCAGAGTGGCGCATCTCACCCGGTGAGGGTCCTGTCACCCGCCGCCCCCCCCAGGTGGCGATCTCGGCACAGGGCGAGGGGTCTGGGTCACCCGCCGCCCCCCCAGAGGTGGCTGCATCTCAGCGCTGGGCAAGGGGTCCTAACCAGCTGCCCCACCCCAGAGGTGGCCGCATCTCAGCACCGGGCGAGGGGTCCCTGGGTCACCAGCCGCCCCGCCCCAGAGGTGGCCGCATCTCAGCACCGGCGAGGGGTCCCTGGGTCACCAGCCGCCCCGCCCCAGAGGTGGCCGCATCTCAGCACCGGGCGAGGGGTCCCTGGGTCACCAGCCGCCCCGCCCCAGAGGTGGCCGCATCTCGGCGCCGGGCGAGGGGTCCCTGGGTCATCAGCCGCCCCCCCCAGAGGTGGCCCATCTCCGCCGGGCGAGGGGTCCCTGGGTCACCAGCCGCCCCGCCCCAGAGGTGGCGCATCTCAGCACCGGGCGGGGGTCCCTGGGTCACCAGCCGCCCCGCCCCAGAGGTGGCCCATCTCAGCACCGGGCGAGGGGTCCCTGGGTCCCAGCCGCCCCGCCCCAGAGGTGGCCGCATCTGCGCCGGGCGAGGGGTCCCTGGGTCATCAGCCGCCCCGCCCCAGAGGTGGCCGCATCTCGGCGCCGGGCGAGGGGTCCCTGGGTCACCCGCCGCCCCGCCCCAGAGGTGGCCGCATCTTAAACTAACTCCCCTCTGCTCCCGTCTCTCTTTCCTTTCCAGTTTACTTCAGCACTTAATGGACCCTCGGAAGCCAAAGCCCCCCCTCCCTCCCCCCAAAGGAGCTGCGGCCGGGAGAGGCGCGAGGGGCTGCGACCCCCCCCCCCACATGATGTCAGCCATATCTTCCAGCCTCCCCCCCCTTCTCCCCCGGGCCCCCCCGTGGCATGTGTGTGTGTGTTGCGGTGCGTGTGGCCGTCCTGTATATAGGCTAACTTATTTATACATATTCTATATTTTGTCTGTTTGTAGATTTATTACTAGATTTACAGCTGTCATGGACCCCACCCCCAATACCTGCTCCCCACCAGTGTTCTCAGTGTCTACTGATTTAATTGAAATATTTTAAGGACCAATCCCCCCACCCCCCCCCCAAAAAAAAGTAAAATAGGGGGAACCCAGAAGCCTGAGAAACTCAAGCGCTCCCCCCCCCCCCCGCCCTTTCAGAGTGATGCCGATGCGAGAGCCGGGTCCCCCGGCTTGGCTGTGTCTCGGCCCCTGTATAAATAGCTGCCCCACTCCAGAGATGGCCGCATCTCAGCGCTCCGGGGAGGGGTCCCTGTATAAACAGCTGCCCCATCCCAGAGCTGGCTGCATCTCAGTGCCGGGCGAGGGGTCCCGGGATAACCAGCCGCCCCGCCCCAGAGCTGGCCGCATCTCAGCGCCCGGGTGAGGGGTCCCTGTATAACCGTCACCCTGCCCCAGAGCTGGCCGCATCTCAGTGCCAGATGAGGGGTCCCTGTATAACCGTCACCCTGCCCCAGAGCTGGCCGCATCTCAGTGCCGGATGAGGGGTCCCTGTATAACCGTCACCCTGCCCCAGAGCTGGCCGCATCTCAGCGCCCGGGTGAGGGGTCCCTGTATAACCATCACCCTGCCCCAGAGCTGGCCGCATCTCAGTGCCCGGGTGAGGGGTCCCTGTATAACCATCACCCTACCCCAGAGCTGGCCGCATCTCCGTGCCAGATGAGGGGTCCCTGGATAACCAGCCGCCCCGCCCCAGAGATGGCTGCATCTCACACCATGCAAAGGGGGGGTGTCATAAGTGTCTTTACCTTCCTCTTCTCCCCCCCACATCCCGATCCACCCCCTTCCCTGACCCTGTGAGGTTTTGTAACATTCCTGGGTCTGTACTGTGCAGTCTGGCTTTGGGGGGGGCTGGGGGTTGCTCTTCCTACCCCACACCTCATGTGTGGGAGGGGGCAGTGTTGTCACACCCCCAGCTCCAAGCCCTTTAAGAGTCTTAGGGTGGGGGTTGCATGGGGAAAGGGGGGGAGCCCCTAAATCCACCCCTTCCCCATGGCCCAGCGGTTCCAGCTTCTCTCCTCTGGGGGTGGAGAGTGGGGGCAGGCTGGCTCCCCATTAACTGTCTGTCTGACCCCAGAGAGCCCCCCCCACCCAGCAGCAGGGCCCAGGCCTGGCTGGGGCAGGGGGGCTCGGTGATCCCGTAGCGGGGGGGGCTGGATAAATCTGGTCTTGGGGAGGGGGAAAAGCAGTCACAGCCCAGAGCCAGCGACTCCTTCCCCCCACCCCACCTCCCCCAGAGTGTGGGCACAGATGGGGCATTCCCCTCCCCCACCCGCTAATGGGGGGGGGTTCCCTGGTGGCCAGCAGGGGGCGATCCCTGAGCAGCTCTGCAACGTATCCCTGTGTCCTGTGATGAGTGACCCCCACCTTGCCCTGTCCCTCTCCCCCAGCCCTTTGAGGCAGTCATCTGTAGCATTAAACCTTCCCTGCTAGCCCCATAGCGCTAAACCTCTCCCAGCTCCGAGACAGCCCCATAGCACGACCCCTCCCCCCGCCAGCCCCTACAGAACGATCCCCCCCCACACACACCCACTGAGGAGATATGACGTGTGACTGTGTCCCTCTGCACTCTCCGTGCCGAGTGCTCGCTGGGGGGGAGGCGGATTGCCCCCCCCCCCCCCGCCAGCTTGGAGGGACATTGGCGCGGGGTCCCCTACGAGGCCCGCTTTGGAGGGTGCAGCCTGGCGGTCCTCTGCTCCCCATCTGGAGGGAACGCGGGCGCTAAGGACCTGGCTGGCTCTGCCCCCTGTGAGGCTGGCTTGGCAGCGGGGTGCCCTGGGGGTCCCTTCAACCAGGCTGCGTGGATTGTGAACTGCTGGGGAACAGAGAGTGGGGGGGGCAAATCCCAGGCTGTGTTTTCCCTGGGCCGGGGGGCAGGTGTCACTGCTGCCCCTCGGCTTTGGGGGCACAGGGTCCACCGTGCCCCATGGTGGGACCAGTGCCCCCTAATTCTAAAGACACCTGGGATGAGGGTGGAGGGGGGGCAGAGCTGGCTGGATTCCCCTAGACCTAGCTGGAGGGAGGGGGGGGTCGGCCTTGCCCCCCACGCACTCCCCAGCAGCAGGCGGGGGGCAAGGCACCCCCTGGAGGGAACGGGGAGTGACTTTATGCTGTGAAAATGTACAATAAATGTCCTGTGGAGAAAGCCCAAGCTGCTGTCCGTCCGTCTGTCTGTGCTGCCATCCGTCCTGGGGAGGGAGCCCTGGATAATCAGTCGCCCCAGAGGTGACCACAACTCAGCGCCAGGTGAGGGGTCCCTGGGTAACCGGCTACCCTGCCCCAGAGGTGGGTGCATCTCAGCGCCGGGCGAGGGGTCCCTGGGTAACCGGCTGCCCTGCCCCAGAGGTGGGTGCATCTTGGTGCTTGGTCCCTGTCTAACCAGCTGCCACGCCCCGGAGGTGGCTGCATCTCCGCGCTGGGAGACGGGTCCCTGGGTAACCAGCTGCCCCGCCCCAGAGGTGGCTGCATCTTGGTGCAGGGCGAGGGATCCCTGGCTAACCAGCCGCCCTGGCACATATGTGGTTACATCAGCACTGGGCGAGGGGTCCCTGGATAACCAGCCGCCCTGCCCCAGAGGTGGCTGCATCTCTTCTGTCCACACAACCCCCTTATTTCCATTTCTGGAAATAAGGGGGTTAGTGTCTGAGATTCACCGCACCCCCTCCTGCCACGAATCCCACTACCCTCTGAGAACCAGGGGGAGAACCCTGGAGTCCGAACACCCAGGTCCAGCCGCCTCCCTCCCCGCAATCACTAGCCCCCACTCCCCGGGCCAGGATTGGGGCGTGGTCCCGCTTTGACCCAAGCGGCTAGTGAAATCTCAGCGTCCCGGGACTATTCCGGTTGGACGTAGGGCCGGCTGGCGTCGGCCGTTCTCGGACCTGCCCTCCACTTCCAGCGTGCTGCTCTTCCAAAATCGGCCCCAAGCCTCTTCTCCCGCTCAGATGCTGGGGGGGGGGGTGCCCTTCCCGTAACCCCCCCTCCCACGGGAATGCGTTTGGCTTCAGGGGCCTCATGCCTATCAATCTCAGTGAGGTTTTAACTCAACCCATAACAAGGTTTGGCCCAGTTCATAACAGAACCCAGGAGTCCTGGCTCCCAGCCCCCCTGCTCTAACCCACCGGCCCCCACTCCCCTCCCAGAGCCAGGGCGAGAACGCAGGAGTCCTGGCTCCCAGCCCCCCTTCTCTAACCCACCGGCCCCCAGTCCCCTCCCGGCTGGAGAGAACCCAGGAGTCCCTCCCCCCCCTGCTCTAACCCACCAGCCCCCACTCCCCTCCCAGAGCCGTGAGAGAACCCAGGAGTCCTGGCTCCCAGCCCCCCCTGCTCTAACCCTCCGGCCCCCACTCCCCTCCCAGAGCCAGGGCGAGAACGCAGGAGTTCTGGCTCCCAGCCCCCCTGCTCTAACCCACCGGCCCCCACTCCCCTCCCAGAGCTGGGGAGAGAACCCAGGAGTCCTGGCTCCTCTTCCCCACAACTGACCTTGTTAAAAAACCAAGCCTCCCACTCACGCAGTGGAGCTGGGTGAGTGCCAGGGCCTGCCAGCAGGGGGCGACCTTCCCCACTGCTAGAGAAAGGGGGCGGGGCCATAGCCCCATTCCCACCTGGCTACAGCTGGGACCAAGGGAGCCTTGACTGGTTCCAGTGCTGAGCTGGGAACTGGAACCCAGGGGGACACTGGGCAGCACCCACGGCCACGGGCTCTCTTGTGGCTGGAAGCCAGGACTCCTGGGTTCTCTCCCTGACTCTGGGAGGGGAGGGGGGTCTAGTGATTAGAGCAGGGGGACTAGGAGCCAGGACTCCTGGGTTCTCTCCCTGGCCCTGGGAGGGGGGTGCAGTCTAGCGACTGGCTAGCACGGACCCATCCATTTCATTCAGCCCCCCCCGCAATGTGTCCCACGCCCAAAGCCTTTCACCCCTCGGCTAACTAAACTGGCACAGATCACAAGAGAGCGAGGGCAGGGGGAGCCCTGATGTCCCTGCAAAGGTGAGCCCAGCTGGGCATCGGTGCCCCACGCTGGACAAGAAGGCAAACTCCCCCCACGGGTCCTGCCCATCTGGCTTAGGCGGGCAGGGCTGAATACCACCTTGCTCCAGGCAATGAAAAGGGACGGAGGGGTTGGCTGGGTCGGCTCTTCCCTTTGCCTACAGCTGGGCAAGGGCACAGCGGGCACCGCTGGCCAAAAGAGCCTGATCTCATGGGCACAGGGCGGGCTCCACCCGGATAAGCGCTTGAAGAATCCACCGATTTCTGCTTTGCCCGCTCTGAACGCTGCCTCAGCAACCAATCTCCACCTCCCCACCGCTTTCTACGGCACGCCTTCGGAATTTGGCACCCAGGCCCCCTGATTTCTGCACGGCATTTCCCTGACTTTTGTGTGGTACACACTGAATTCTGCATCAGCTTGCCCCGATTTCTGTGTCACCTGCTTGATTCTGCACCCGTTCCCCTTGCCTTGTCTCACCTGCTGAATTCTGCATCCAAATTCCCCGATTTCTGTTTCACACTTACTGAATTCTGCATCCAAATTCCCTGATTTCCCCATCACCGACACTGAATTCTGCATCACACACCCAATTTCTGTTTCAAACATACTGAATTCTGCACCAGTTTCTCCTGCTCTCTAAGTCACACTTACTGAATTCTGCACCCAAATCCCCCCGATTTCTGTTTTGCACACTGAATGCTGCACAGAATCCCTGATTACCAGCGCCCATGCTGATATCTGCACCAAATCCCCACTGAATTCTCCATGAAATCACCCTGATTTCTGTGTGTCATGCTCAATTCTCCACCAAAGACCCCCTGATTATATAAAGTCACAGCGTTGAAGGCCAGAAGGGAGGGACTCTGACTTCCTGTACCTCACCTCACAGGCCACCAAGCCCCGCACACCAAACGGCCCAGCCAGCCAAACACTGGAGAGAAACAACTCTTGGTGCCAACTCAGATCCCTGGCCCAGCCACCCATCCACCCAGCATCCCATCTCTGGCATGGCCATCCCCGATGCTCCAGAAGAGAGAGAGAAAAACAAACAGAATATACTGGGCAGGTGTCGGGGGGATTCCTTCCTGACCCCTGCAGGCGACCAGCCAGCACCCTGAAGCCTGAGATCTTCAGAACGTAAGAGCGAAATTGGAACGTGTTTCCCTCCACCCCAGGACTCTCAAGCCCCACCCTCCCAAGCAATCCTGCCACGCAATGGCCCTCATCCATTTGCCCAGCTCCTTGTAACAACGAATTAAGCTGTTTGCCCCCCTGCAATTCCCAGTGGGAGATGGTCCCAGAAGATCACCCTGCAGATGGTGAGAAACCTTCTAATCTCCAGCCTGAATTTGTCCAGGGCCGGTTTCTAGACACTTGTTCTTGTGGGAACGTTGTCCTTCAGCTTCAGTCGCTCATTGTACCCCTTGGTGTTCCCCCCCGATTTCAGAACCACACGAGCTGGATCCTGCCCCAAATCCCCCCAATTTCAGCACCACACGCACTGGATCCTGCACCAAAATCCTCCCGATTTCTACGTCTCTCGCGCTGGATCCTGCCCCAAATCCTCCCGATTTCTACATCTCTCACACTGAATTCTGCCCCCAAATTCTCCTGATTTCTACGTCTCTCGCGCTGAATTCTGCCCCCAAATCCCCCCGATTTCTACGTCTCTCGCGCTGAATTCTGCCCCCAAATCCTCCCGATTTCTACGTCTCGCACGCTGGATTCTGCCCCCAAATCCTCCCGATTTCTACGTCTCTCACGCTGGATTCTGCCCCCAAATCCACCCGATTTCTACGTCTCTCGCGCTGGATTCTGCCCCCAAATCCACCCGATTTCTACGTCTCTCGCGCTGAATTCTGCCCCCAAATCCTCCCGATTTCTACGTCTCGCACGCTGGGTTCTACCCCAACTCCTCCCGATTTCTACATCTCGCACGCTGGATTCTGCCCCCAAATCCTCCGGATTTCTACGTCTCGCACGCTGGACCCTGCCCCAAATCTCCCCGATTTCAGCATCACACGCGCTGGACCCTGCCCCAAATCCCCCCCCATTTCAGCATCACACGCGCTGGACCCTGCCCCAAATCCCCCCCCATTTCAGCATCACACGTGCTGGACCCTGCCCCAAATCCTCCCGATTTCGGCATCACAGACGCTGGCTGGACCCTGCACCGAATCCCCATGATTTCTACGTCTCGCACGCTGGATTCTGCCCCAACTCCTCCCGATTTCTACATCTCGCACGCTGGATTCTGTGCCAAGTCCCTCAGGTTCCTGCACCTGATTTGCAGCTGAGGGAGGGGCCAGGACTGGAGATAAGGTTGAAGCTACACCAGGGAGACAGGGTCAGGGGGTTGGAGTGATCCCTGGCGTAGGCCCCATCCAGCTGCCAGAGCCGGATTGCTGCTTGCCTGGTTGGTGCCACAGAGCCAAAGCCTGGGGCTGCCTCAGCTCCGGATATTAATAGATGTCCCAGAGCAGCAGGAACAAGGCGTTCTGACCTCCTAACCTAGCTCCCCAGACCCCACCCCGGCTCCTACCACCCACGGAGTGGGGCAGGGCCTGCCCCAGATCTGGGACCTCCTATTCCTGAACGCAGCCCCATGAGCCCTGGGGAGGGGCTGCGGGGAGCCTCACCTGGCTCCTGCCCCAGAGGAGTGGCTGAGACACATTGTCCTGGACAGCGCTGATTGGAGACTGGGGCCTAGTGGTTGGAGTGGGGGCGGGGAGCCAGGACTCCTGGGTTCTCTCCCCGGCTCTGGGAGGGGAGCGGGGACTGGTGGTTAGAGCAGGGGGGGCTGGGAGGCAGGACGCCTGGGTTCTCTCCCGGGCTGTGGGAAGGGAGTGGGGGCTGGTGGGTTAGAGCAGGGGGGGCTGGGGGCCAGGACTCCTGGGTTCTCTCCCCCGCTCTGGGAGGGGAGTGGGGGCTGGTGGTTAGAGCAGGGGCAGTCAGTGGTAGAAGGAAGGCCCAGGGGCTCTGCCAGTGACAGGCTGTAGCTGTGGGCGTCCCCCTGCCTGTGCTTGGGCCTCAGTTTCCCCACCTGTTCCAGGTGGATACAGAGTCAAGCTGGGGCTGAGAAATGGGGCTCCCCGGGATAGTGCAGCTTCGCCTGCTCTCCCAGACCCCTTCCTCCCCACCCGGAGCCCCAGATGGAACCCAGG